ACCCAGATCACCTGCGGTTGTTGAGATGTAGACAGGTTCCTACTCTGTAGCCCAGGCTTGCCTTGAACTTACAGCTAAAACTCTGCCACAGCCTATCAGATAGTGAGGCCACAGACTAAGCCAACAAGCCTGAGCCCTTTCTGTTCTCTGCACCAGAACGGATCAGGAGTTCTAGAAGGGGAATGTAGCTGCTCCAACATCCTTGATGAGGACAGGCCTCGGAGCTGAGAGCAGCGCTGGAAGGGATGCACAGACTGAAGACAGCCACACCAGCCCTGACCCTGGTGACCTCTATAGTGGCAGCACATCTCACTAAGTTTCTGGAACTCACTTGGCCTCAGTCACCTGGGTAACCCCCCACTATGGGGTTACAGGCCTGCCAGATCTCCAGCAGAGTCCCACAAAACGCATTTCTTTTTTTTTTTTTTCCCCATTTTTCAGACAGGGTTTCTCTGTATTGTTTTGGAGGCTGTCCTGGAACTCGCTCTGTAGACCAGGCTGGCCTCGAACTCCCAGAGATCCACCTGCCTCTGCTTCCCGAGTGCTGGGATTAGCCACCAACGCCCAGCACAAAATGCATTTTCAAGCTGGGGACATAGCTTAAGGAACATTTGCTACTGTGGGCAAGGTCCTGGGTTCCATGCCCAGCACACACAAAGGGGGGAGAGGGAGAGGGAAGGGGGAGAGAGAGAGAGAGAGAGACAGAGAGACAGAGAGAGAGACAGAGAGACAGAAAGAGGGAGGGAGGGAAGCCTGAAGGGGTAAGACAGAAGAAAAGAAACTCAAAACAGAGAAGGGAAAACTCACAGTTGTGAACTTGGCAAACCACTTCTGGGGAATTTATCTTACAAATTCAATCTCACAAGTGAGGCTTGGTGGCAACTGCTTGTAACCCAGCACCAGGATGCAGAGACAGGGGGATAATGAATATGAGGCCACTCTAGCCTCAGACTGGGACAGAGAGAACACAAGAGCTCGTTCAAGAGGAAGCTAGGACATATGAGCCAGTTCCAGCACTCAAAGGCCGAGGGAACAGGCTCACAGTGCCAAGGAGTTCAAGGCAATATAAGGCCTCCAATACATGAGGGCAAGTTTGAACTGTGGCACCCTGTCATCCCAGCACCCAGGAGGCAGAGGCAGGAGGAAATTCTGGGCCAGCCTGGACTACGAAGCAAAACCTTGTCTGAAAAAGCAAACAAAAAAATTCTAGAGGGAATGTTACATTATAGGATGTTGGAAGACATCTGTTTTCAAGATGAATGGAGCTCCTGCCATGGGGTGGGGTTCTCAATGTGCAATGATGCAACAGAGCCCAGGATGCCCACCCTGGAGAACACTCACACGCAGAGTTCCAAGAAACACTGCACCCAAACCACCAAGTACCCAGGAACCCACAGTCCAGCACAGCCATATCAATGTATCTTTCAAAGAAACACACATTGGCTTTGGAAATGGGGACACAAAGCCTGTGACATTTTGTAACTGGAGAAGCCTGGAAAACTACTTTTCACCGTCTCTTTTCAACTTGGCACGGTATCTACCAAGAGATTATTTTTTTCTATTTCGTTTTTGAGACAGGGTCTCCTTATATGACCCTGGCTGGCCCCAAACTCTGCGTCCAGAATGCTGGGACTAAAGATGTGTACCCGCTGGCGAGTGTTTTTTTTGGGGGGGGGGTTGTTTGTTTTTGCAATCCATTTTAGAAACGCAGAAGGGGGATGGGCCACTGATTTTTCTAAGCCCTGTGTGAACTTCGTAAATGTATCAAGCTTTTTTGGGGGAGAACCCAGACACACATTTTCTGTGGCCTGGGGCTATGTGGTAGGAGTCACGGATACACACAGCCTGGGTCCCCGGGACCGAACTCAGGTCGTGAGGATTGGTGGCAAGCCCCTCGCGGCGGAGCCCTCCAGGGCCGCTTAGACACGCACACCCCGAGCCCCTGTGCAGCCCGGGGACCCGGTTTCCCTTTCCCTGAGCGGGCTCCTTCGAGTCCCCCGAGCCAGGCCCAAGCCCGGATGGCCCGGCCGCGCCTCACCTGGCTCGCCTTGTAGAACTGCTTCTTTAGCCCCGCAACCGACATGCCGCCTCCCGCCGTCGGGCCTCCCGCCCGGACTCAGCTTTCCTCTGGCGCCGCCGAACCGACCTCCTTCTTCCGCGCGCGACTCGGCGCCGCCTCCGCCAAAGCAGCTCGCCAGCTCTACGCGCCCGCCCGCCCGGGAGACAGCTCGGCCAGCTAGCGCGCACGCGCGGCCGGGACATTACATGGCAACCACACATTTCCGGTGCCGCCCCCACATCGCCTCACCCCCTCCCAACGGCATCCGCAGCGCGCGCGCGCGCGCGCGCGCTCGGCCTCTCTGCGCAGGCACCCCCTGGAGGCGGGAGCGCGCATCGCCGCGGGGAGGTCGGCAAATGCCCGCCCACACCAACGAGATGAGGGGGCGCCTGGAGAGACCAGAGGGGCTGCAGCGCCCCCTACAGCCGAGGAGGTGGGTGTAAAGTCAAAGTCAGCGTCAATCACTTAACTTGTGAGTGCGTGGGGAAGCGGGAGCTGCATGCGTGCCATGGAGCGCGCGTGGCGCTCCGAGGACGACTTTCCACCATGTAAGCCGCCGGGATCGAACTCGTGTATCCAAGCTTGGCCGTAAGAGCTTTACCCATAGACATCTCCCTGGGCCTCTAAGGAAAGATTCCTGACAGTTCTCGGCTATGCGGGGCCGCTGGAACCCACAATCAATAAAACAGAGAATAAAATGAAAGCAGGACTAAGGAAAGTCTGGCTGTCCTCCCCGCACCAGGCGGCTCACAGCTGCCTGTTAACTCCAGCTACAGATCCGCCCTCTCGTGGCCTCCTCGGTCAACTGCGCCCAAGTCTGCAGGATCACACCCGTAACTTAAAAAAACGATTATAAAATCATCTTTTAAAGATAAAAAGAATAAAATAACACAAAAACTCAACCTAGAGTGTCTCCAGTTTAGGTGCCTTCATTTCTCTTCCAATAGCTGTGATTAAATGCTCTGGCAACAAAAACAAAACCCCAAAGAAAACAAAAATGCTGGGTCAAAAGCGACCGTTTTGAAACAAGGAAGGGTGTACTGTGGTTGGAATGTCACCGCCTGGACAGAACCTCCGCAGACCCACACATGCACCCTAGCCCCTCTATCAACCGTGCTAACGATTTCACACAGGACGTAGACCCTGCCAGGTGTGGCAGCGACGCCTTTAGTCCCAGCGCTTGAGCAGGGCAGGTGGATCTCTGAGTTCGGGGCCAGCCTGGGCTACATAACCAGTTACACACCATTCGAGCATGACTTGGAGACTGATGAAACGGGGGTGATGAGTAAATAGATCCTAAAGCAGGAACAGGAAAATGTTGAGGGGAAAGAATTTTAAAAATCTGGTGTTGAAATTGCTGACAAGTGATTCCATGAAGCCACGGATTTCTGGAAGGTTGCAAATGACTCAACAGGATGCAATGCAGTAGGTGAAAAGAACATATGTATGTCATCCTTATGGCTCATGACTAAAGGAGCCTTTATGCATGATGGACTACGAATGGTTTTGGGCCTCTGAGCACAGCTGGTCGTGAACTCCTGACCCTCTTGCTTGGCCTCCCTGGTGCTGCAATGACAGGCCCCTGACACCATGTGTGGTTTCAAAGACAGGTGTGTGTGTGTGTGTGAGAGAGAGAGAGAGAGAGACAGAGACAGAGACAGAGACAGAGACTGCAGGCAGATTCCTAGCATGCCAGCAACCACACACGACACAAGGACGCTCTCTGTTTCAGGTGTGTTCTGAGATGGAGTCTCAGGGAGCCCAGGCTATCTTCCACTTCAGCCTACCAGTGCAGGGTCGACAGGTGTACAGCTGCAGGATTGTCTCCACAAGATCTGCAGAAAACAACCTGATTATACTTCTGCAGCACATCAAAGGTTGGCTGGGGCCCTTGACACTACAGCTATCCTTACCGCCACTGAGATCATGGCCAAAAGGCAGCTCGGACAGTTCACCTATTAGGAGCCCACTTACGAGCCACAACTTCAAGAAAAGAACTGTTGTGGGCACTGCGCTGTTCGCAGGTGAAGGGGGAAGGTTTCTTCCTCCCCCTAACAGATGAAAGCTTCTAGAAACTGGTTGGTGGGTACCAGGCCAGCGAGGCTGCCTTGTGAGATCCTGTCTCGAAAAAAGCAAAGAAAGAACAAAAGAGGGCATTTAATAATTTTTGATACATTGTATCGCTGGCTGTCTTCAAACTTACAGAGGTCCGCCTGCCTCCCAACTACTAGGATCAAAAGCTCCCAACACCAAAGCCAATGGATAATTTTTCTCAGTTAATATATCTTCAAAGTAACGATTTTTAAAAAGTTTTTCGAGACAGGGTTTCTCTGTCCTGGAACTCGCTCTAAAGACCAGGCTGGTCTCGAACTCGCATAGAGCCACCTGCCATTGCCTCCCGAGTGCTGGGATTAAAGGTGTGCGCCACCAACGCCCAGCTAACGATTTTAAAGTAATTTATAATTTTACAACAGAAAATTCTATTTAACTTAAAAATAAAGCAAGTCGTAATTTTAAAAAGCGGTTCATCATTTCAGAAAAGTACTCATAACTTTTTTAAAGTAGCTTATAGTTAAAACGGGAAGTAATTATGAATTGACAGGAAAAGGAAGAAACCCCCAATTTTAATTGCCGTAGCTACTTTGAACCAATTACTAATTAGGATAAACTCACTTCAGATTCCTCCTCTAATCAGTAATTTCAAGTTGTCACTGGCGCGGATCGTGACGTAACCGTCCCGCCTCCTTCCACGAGTGTTAGCCAATAAAAGGGGGGATTCTTGGGTTGACATTTCTTTGGACCAGTAGAAACGCGTCGCTCCGCAGCCACTCAAGAACCGCCGGAAAGGAGCCCTCCTCTGTCCACCTCCCGCGGGATTTTTGGGCATACAAGCCGCAGTTCTCGCGAGGACGCGCCGAGCGCCCCTCTTTTCCTGAGGCCGGACTGTCACGTGACGCGCCCCTGTCCAATCGGCGCACGGGCCGCGGTGGTTGCCGCGGTTCCCGCCAAATACGAGCGCGGCGGCCGCGGCGGCAGCAGTAGCGGCACCGGCGGGAGGCGGAGAGCGCAGCGGGGTCGCCTGAGTGAAGTCTGAGCCGCCGCTGCCGCCGCCGCCGCCGCCGCCGCCGCGATGCTAGAGGAGCCGGATGCCGCGGCGCCGCGAGCCGCAGGTGGGTGAATCTGCGGCCTGAAGGACCCGGTCCGCGCCCTGTGGTTGGGGGCTGAGATGCGGAGACGCGAGGGCTCCCAGAGGGGAAACTGAGGCACCAGGGAGGGGGAAGGGTCAGCGTTGCATAACTAGGACCTGGTAGCAGCAGATGGGGAAGCAGGCCGCAGGTCGTCTTTGATTGGATCCTGAATGCATCTGTGTCCTCTTGGAGTAGGTGGGGAAACAGGCCAGGAAGGGGGGTAGCGTCAGTTGTGCAGGTTATTAAATGCATTTGTGAATTCTCGAGTGAGTCAGACCTTTGCAGTGGGTGGGGAAACTGAGGCCTGTGGTCACTTGAGCTCTGGACACCAGAGTACCCCGCTGCCGTCCCGGGCAGGGCAAGCCCAGGATGGTGGAGACCTTTGCCTGGCAAGCATGACCAGGAAGCTCTCTTTTGTGAGTGTGGTATGGCCCTGCGGGGTACGTGTTAGGAGTCTTTGTAGCATGAGGCAGGCTTCCCTAAATGTGGGGTGCCTAGTCCCCCTGCTTGACTCTGAATTGTACTCCCAACAGTTGGCACGGACTCCCCCCCTGTGTGGATTGAATGACTCAGAGACCGGAGGGGGGGCATCCTGATGGACTAAGATTTCACCGATTGAGCACTGCGTGGGGCACTTGGGATGGTCCCTTCTGGGTAGATTATACCAGTCTGAAAGCTTGGACGTGATTGGATAGGCAGTTTCAGGGATGGAGAGCAGTGTCCTGCATGTCCATCCACTTCTGGGATAATTCCGGCCCTCTGCTATGGTTCTGACCACCAAAGACATGCCACTCCCCCACCCCCAAACACACACACAGCCCAGTATCGCAGCAAGGCTGGATCTGTTGTCCTGACTGGCTTAAGATTTTATGATGACGTAACTAATATTCATAAGACAGCCTGGACTATTATGGAGCGTTGTTTTTGTTTAACCAAAGGCAGAACTTTCAAAACCAACACTATTGGTAATAAAGACAAGTTGGGTGTGGTAATTTGTACCTGCGGTTCCAGCATCCTAGAAGATGAGGCAGGAGGATGATGAGTTCCAGGTTGATCTGACCTCTCACCACCTGAATTCTATCACAGGTAGAAGGAGAGAATTCCCACAAGTCTCCCCGACAAGAAATTAATTAAAATGTAATAAAATTTTTTTAAAGAAAGGATGTCTTTCAGAAAAAAAGAACCATATTTTGGCAATAGAAAACAGGGCAATGTTACCTTTCTTCCATTCAAGTAGGAAAAAAGGGACATGGGTGTTCTGGGTAGGGGTCTGAGTCTAAGCAGGGATGAACAGGCTGTCTCCACTCTGAACAGCTCGGGTTGTCCAGAGTGGAGTCTGAATTCCACATAGCATTAGCAAAATGTATGGGAATGCTCCCCAAATTACTGAAGGAGTTTTTGGTCCGCTTAAAACATTGCCTAGCAGGTGTGAGTTTCTACTCCTGAGCCATCTGTTTAAACATGGTGGTGCATGTCTTTGGGAGATGAAGGCTGGAGGATCTCTGTGAGTATGTAAGCCAGACTGGTCTACATATCAAGTTCTGGGACAGGGCTACATAGAGAGCCACTGTCTCAAACAAACAAAAAAAAACAGTTATATTTATGGTCCTACATGCATGGATTTTGATGTGCTTACATACTTCCTGAGGTTTTTATTTTAATGGGAAATAGTCTCTCATTGGTTTTTTTATTTTCTGCAGGTTTTTTTTTTTTTTTTTTTTTTTTGGTTTTTTGAGACAGGGTTTCTCTGTGGCTTTGGAGGCTGTCCTGGAACTCGCTCTGTAGACCAGGCTGGCCTAGAACTTCTGTAGTTATTTTTGAAACAGGGTCCTGTGTAGCCCAGGCTGGCCTCTACCTCCAAGTGTCACCTTGCCTGGTTTCTGCAGGGCTGTGGATGGAACCCAGAGCTTCCTGCATGTTAGGCCAGTGTGCTACCCACTGAGCCCAACCCAGGTTCTTATTGTGCCTTGACATAACTGCAGCTTCTGCCGCAGAGTGTGTTCATTTCATCTGCTTATATGTTCATCTGTTTAAGACTATGATGCCGCCAGGCGGTGGTGGTGGTGCACGCCTTTAATCCCAGCACTTGGGAGGCCGAGGCAGGCGGATCTCTGTGAGTTCCAGACCAGCCTGGTCTACAAGAGCAGTTCTAGGACAGCCTCCAAAGCCACAGAGAAACCCTGTCTCAAGAAAAAGAAAGACTATGATGCCTTTGCTTAAAAAATAGTTTTTAAGTTGGTTTACTTAAAGATTTGTTTGATATTACGCATCTTTGTATGTTTCTATCCATGTGAGATAAGTGCCCATAGAGATCAGAGAGGGCATCGGGTGCCCTGGAGCTGGACTTGTAGTTGTAAGCTGTTGGATCTGATGATGGAACCAGAGCAGCAAGTGCTTTTATTTGCTGCTCCCCCTGTCTAGCCCCACATTCACTCTGTGTGTGTGTGTGTGTGTGTGTGTGTGTGTGTGTGTGTGTGTGTGTGTGTGTAGGTCAAAGGACATATTCGAGTCTACTCTTCTTCCCCTGTATGGGTCCTGGGGATTGAGCTCAGCTCGTCAGGCTTGGAAAGCGCCCCACCCACTGACCCGTCTCACCAGCTCTCACATGTTTTTTGAGAGAACTTTGTGCAGTTTAACCATGACTAGAACTCTGTGCAGCCCAGAGTGGCTTTGAAGTTGAGGCAATCTTCCTACCTCTACCTCCTCAGTCCTGGGATGGTGAGCATCACCCCGTGACGGGCTCTTTCTGTGTGTTCGCCCATGCCCTTGCTTTTTGCTCACACATTCTTCAGTTTCCAGTATGTTCAAGCACAGAGGAGGGAAGTCTGGGCACAGCATGGGTCAGGTCGCTGTGCTGGCATCCAGGAGGGGACATAACACAGCAGTTTCTGAGCAAGGCCCACAGAGAAGCTCAAAGCAGGGTATTGAGTCCAGTGTAGAATTGCTCGGTGTTGACATTTGGAGCCAAATAATTCTTCGTTGTGGGGCTGGCCTATTCAATGCAGGCTGTTTAAGGGGAGTACCTGTGTACCAGCTAGAGATGAGCAACACCCCCAGCCATGAAAACTGTCTCTATGGGCTGACGATATGGCTCAAGAGTCAGAGTGCTTGCTGCCAAGCCTGGCCATTGGGTACTGTCACTACGACCCACATGTAGAATGGGCTCTGACACACATGTGGCAAATGTAAAATCTGTGGGGGAGGAGAGATGCCCAGCAGTTATAGAGGACCAGAGTTTAGATTGGGTCCCAGCACCCACATCCAGTACCTCACAACTGCCTATATAACTCCAGACCTAGTGTACCTGACACCTCTGGCCTCTGTAAATACCCATACACACAGACACACATGCATACGCATAAATAAGAAAGATAAATGACAGCTGGGTGTGGTGTTGCAGCCTTCATTACCAGCATTTGAGAGGCAGGGGCAGGCAGGCCTATGAGTTCCAGGCCATCCACAGCTACATACCAAGACCCTGTATAAAATAAAAACAAAAAACAAATTTTTTTTAACTCTATAAAAGTAGGCAGTGGTACTTTGTGCTTGGGATCCCAGTACTTGGGAGGCAGAGTCAGGAGGCTCAGCCTATGCTACATAGTGAGATCCTGTCTCAAGGGAAGAAACAGCTCAAATGGAACAGGCAGGGCCACGGGAGGCTCAGTGGGGCCTGCTTGTGTGTGCCTCTGTGGGCTTTAGCTGGCTAGTGACTATCACCTTAAGTAACTTCTGCTCTTCTTTTACCCACAGCTACGGACTGCAAAGACAGACCCGGGTTCCCAGTGAAGAGGTTGATACAAGGTAACTCTGGGCTGGGAAAGCCCTAAACCTGGTTCCTAACTTCTACGTTGGCTTCTGTAGGGTCCTCAGTGGCCTGTTAAGGGGCTGAGGAGAGGATAGCAGTTGCTCCCTCCAGTTTAGTTGGTCACTAAGTGTTGGAGGTGTCAGGTGTTTCTTACATCTTATCTGTTTGGTTTAGTGCTGGAACCCAGCCCAGGGCCTCACACATGATGGCCAATACCTGCACTGCCCAGCTGAGCCCACCCCAGACTTTTCTTCGGGATATATGTATATATGAAGAACCTATGTATGCATGGGGCTCACTGTGAGTTTAGAATTGAATTATGTTCCACAGATACTGTATGTACATGAACTGAGGACAGTTGTGTTGTTTTCATTTGCTTGTTTTTATTTTTCGAGTGATTACTAATGTGTGCGTATTTTAAGAGAAAGTTCATTGCATGTTTATTTATTTGAGACAGGGTCTCACTGTGTAGCCCAGGCTGGTCTAGAACTCAGAGAGCCACCTCCCTCTGTATCCTGTGTGCTAGGATTAAAGGTGCATGCTACCACATCTAGCTTTCAGTTTTAATTAATTTTTTTTAAATTTTGTGTCTCTGAATGCTTGCCTCTTTATTTAATTTAATGTTTTTTTTTGAGAGAGGGTTTCTCTGTGTACTAGCCCTGGCTGTCCTGGAACTAGCTCTGTAGACCAGGTTGACTTTTGAACTCATAGAGATCCTTCTGCCTCTGCCTCCCAAGTGCTGGGACTAAAGGAGTGCTCCACTACCTCCTGGCTGCCTCTATTTTAATGTGCCATCCGTGTGCAGTGCCCACTGCAGATGGAAGATCCTTCTTAGAATGGCTGTGAGCCACCAAGCGTGTGCTGAGAACTGAACCGGTGTCCTCTGTAAGAGCCGCAAGTGCTCCTTACTACTGAGCCATTTCCTTTAATTAGATGTGTGTCTGTGGGTGGTTGTGTGCACCATTGCTTGCAGAGGCCATGGGAAGTCAGGTTCCCTGGAACGGGATTTATAGGCAGCTGTGAGCCACCTCTCAAGCTCACTGGGTTTTGGTTTTTGAGATGGGCTCTCACTCTTTAGCCCAGTTTACCCACTGGCTACAGACTGGACTTCCACATCTCCCTGCCTCAGCTGAGATCACAGGAGCGTGCCCCTGCAGAAGACCCCCTTCAAGGCTCTGGGATTGGTGTTGTGTGCCCTGCATAGCGACTAGGAGGCAGAGCTGCACCCCAGGGCAGCGTTTCCAACTCACTGTTTGATTTGCATACGAATAAATCAAGTAGTGATTCATGTGTGCATGTGTACACATGTGCTGGGTGTGCGTTCAGAGGTGTGTGTGTAGCGGCCAGAAGACTGGCTGCTTGTGCAGGTCTTTTCTCCTCCTTCCCGTGTGGTCTTTTTGCACCAGGCTTGGCAGGAAGTGCCTTGGTTCATTGAACCATCTCACTGACCCTTTGGTGGTCTCTGTTCTGGGGAAGCATGTTCTACATGCTGTATCTGTGACACCCTGGCCTCTTTCCCAGTAGGTGCCAATAGCTGCCCCCAAGTTGAGGCAACGAGACACTGCCTGAGTTCTGGAGCAGGACATCTACCTATGTGGCGAGTGCTGCTGGGCAGCGCATGACTGTCTCTTATTCCCCTACAAGCCATGCCCTTGCACTTGGCCCCAGTGGCAATGGATTTGTGTCAAGAATCAAGGCTCCCATTGAAAAGCCCAACTGTCTATCTGGTTGGCCCCTAGCAGTTCCCTCCTCCCTCTGGACTCTACGGCTAGGCTGGCCTGGGTGAGATGTGTTCCGGGTGAGAGGAATCAGCAGAGCCTGAAACCTCAGGGCAGCCGTGTTTCATGAACTGACCAAATGTAGGGAAAAGGTTGGTTTGGTTTTTGACTTATGTAGAATTAAACAATGGTACTTGACATTTAGACACCTGGAGTGGGGAGTGAGCCCTGACGTCAGGTAACGATGCCTGCTGCCAAGCATCACTGCTTGAGTTTGACCCCCCCCAGCCTCCAGCAGCGCCCCCCCTCTTAAATTTTCTGGGTATGGGTGTTTTGCCAATATATATGTTGGTGCATTATGTGCATGTCTAGTGTCCTGGGGAGGTCAGAAGGAGGTGTCAGGTCCCCTGGACCAGGTGGTTGTGAGCCACCACATGGGTGCTGGGAATTCATCTCAGGTCGTCTGTAAGAGCAGTCAGGGTTCTCTCCAGCTTTGTTTTTAGACTTGAAATTTTCACCGCAAACCCCCCCAGAAGACCATTAATGTTCAGGCACTCAGGTTTTGAGTACGGGCTGATGGTCTCCCTCTGTTGTCACTGAAAATATTGCTTCTCTTTGTTTCAGCCCGCCTGCCCTTCAAACGCCTGAACCTTGACCCCAAGGAGAAAGCCAAGGACACGTTACCAAAAGTGTCTGTGGAAGATAAAGTCCCGGATCTACAATTGTCTTTGGATACTTTGGAAAACCGCTGTCACACAGGTTCTCATGTAGGCTTGAGTCCGAAGCTGGTCAGTGGCCGGGGCCCCATTGATAGCTTCTTGAGGGCCACGATAAAGCCAGTGCCGAGTGTGGTCATCATCGACCTGACCGAAAACTCCAGTGACATTCCACATAGCCCAGAGGCCTCCAGTGAACCAAGTCCTGATGCCCCAGTGGAAGGGGCTGTCAAACAGCAGGGGCCCTCCACAGGGGAGCAGTGTCTCCCAGAGACTTCTTCAGACACTCCTTGTCACATGAAGGAGGAGCCTGGGAGCCCAGGAGGCCCAGAGAGGACGGGTGACTGTCAGACTGACTCATTACAGAGCTGTCCTAAGCTGGCTGCAGGTTCCAGGACATTCCCCATAAAAGAGCCATCAGGCTGGAGCAAGGCAGGAGATCTCCTGTTTATAGAAAAAGTGCCCATGGTGGTGCTTGAGGACATCCTGGCCACTAACCCTCTTGACACTTCTCTTCCCACCATGTCCCTGGACCAGAGTGTCACTTCAGATAGTGAAGTGCAGGAGTCCTGCCCTGAAGATGACTCCACACTGAGCCTCTCCTCCACCAGCTCTTCTTCTCCAACCAACTCTCCTGGGGGACCCTCTGCTCCCCCAGCACAGCTCAGTGGGAACAGTCCCCCCTCCACACCCATCTGCAAAGTGAGTACCCCCCCCATAGTCCCAGGGTACTGACAGGACCTCACACTGGATAGAGCCCTGCATGCCTGGAGCCTAAGGCTCCATCCTAGGTACCTCAGAAACCTGTTATCTCAGTGCTGGGGAGATAGAGACAGGAAGATCTGGAGGTCAGGGTCTGTCTCATCTACATAGTAGTGAATTTGAGACCAGCCTAGGCTATATGAGTACAAGAGACCCTGTCTCAAGCTAATCATAAAACCATTGTATGACCAGCTGTGGTGGTGCACGCCTTTCACCCCAGCATTTGGGAGGCAGAGGCAGGTAGATCTCTGAGTTCAAAGCCAGCTGATCTACATAGTAAGTTCTTGGCCTGCACGGTAAGACCCTGTCTGGAAAAACCAAAAAAGAGAGGGAGGGGGCGGTTCACAGAATAAAAATTAATTATTTGGGAGAGGAAGATCACAGAATAAAAATTATTTGGATTTGGGGTCCCTCCTCCAGAGGTCGAAACCTGCATGTGACATTATAAACGTTCCAAACTTGACAACAAATGCTCCCAAGCATTTTGGGACAAGGGGTGCTGAAGCATGCTGTGGCCAGGCTCACTTCTGTCTTTGTCTTCAGAGCTGAGCTTTCCAATGCCTGCCACCTTCTTTATTATTCCTTCTGGTGCTGGGGATGGGACTTGACTCAACAGGCTGGTGCTCTCCACTTGGGCACACCCCAACCCCTCAGGATAGAGTTTAAAGACCTAGTGGTCCGTCTGTCCAGGGGTGCCTTCCCAGATGCAGCTCAGGCAGAGCATCAGACCTGGCAGAGAGCTCACATCCCTCTCCACTGAGGAGGTATCAACAAGGCCTGGAAGAGTAACTCAGCCAGACCTCCTGCCCCATGCACAGAAACCCAGGGGCTCACACATGCTCAGCAGGCACTTTACTGCTGAGCCACAACGCCTGCTGTCTTTTCTTGGTGTTTTTTTGTTTGTTTGGTTGGTTGGTTTTTGGTTTTTCGAGACAGGGTTTCTCTGTATTGCTTTGGCGGTTGTGCTGGAACTCACTCTGTAGACCAGGCTGGCCTCGACTCACAGAGATCCTCTTGCTTCGGCCTCCCGAGTACTGGGATTAAAGGCGTACGTCACCAACGTCCGGCTTTTTTTGGTTTTAAGTCTTCCTGTATGGGCCAGGCTGACCCTGAATGCAAGATCTTTCTGCTCAGCCTCCCAAACATTATGATTACATCAGTGTAGCTCTGCTGTCCTGGAACTTTTTGATGTTTGTTTTATGTTTCTCTCCATTTAATTTCATGTTGGCTGTAGGGTTACTGTAGATTGCCTTTATTATTTTTAGGTATGTTCCTTGTATCCCTGATCTCTCCAAGACCTTTATCATGAATTGGTGTTGGGTTTTGACAAAGGATTTTTCAGCATCTAGTGAGATGATCATGTGTTCTTTCAGTTTGTTTATATGGTGGATTACAATGGTGGATTTTCATATGTTGAACCATCCCTGCATCTCTGGGATGAATCCTTCTTGGTCATGATGGATGATTTTTCTGATGTGTTCTTAGATTTGGTTTGCCAGTATTTTATTGAGTATCTTTGCACCTATGTTCATGAGGGAAACTGGCCTGTGATTCTCTTAGTTGTGTGCTTGTGTGGTTTGGGTATCAGGATAACTGTAGCCTCAAAAAGAGTTTGGCACTGGGCAGTGGTGGCGCACGCCTTTAATCCCAGCACTCGGGAGGCAGAGGCAGGTGGATCTCTGTGAGTTCGAGGCCAGCCTGGTCTACAAGAGCTAGTTCCAGGACAGGGTCCAAAACTACAGAGAAACCCTGCCTCAAAAAAACAAACAAACAAACAAACAAAAGAGTTTGGCAAAGATCCTTCTACTTCTATTGTGTGGAATAATTTTGGGAATATTGGTATTAGCTCTTCTTTGGACATCTGGTAGAATTCTGTGCTGACACCATCTGGGCCTTTTTTGGTTGGGAGACTTTTTGTTGTTGTTGTTGTTGTTTTTGTTGTTTTGTTTTTCGAGACAGGGTTTATCTGTTGGTTTGGAGATTGTCCTGGAGCACTCTTTGTAGCCCTGGCTATCCTAGAACTCACAGAGCCCTGCCTGCCCAGTGCTGTGCACCACCACTGGCTGTTGGGAGACTATGGATAGCTGTTTCTCTTTCCTTAGGGACTATAGGTGTATTTAAATTGTTTATCTGTTCTTGATTTAATTTTAGTGTGTGGTACTTACCTAGAAAATCTCTATCTCCTTAAAGTTTTCCAATTTTGTGGAGTACAGGTTTTGAAGTATGACCTGAATTCTCTGGATTTCCTCAGTGTCTGTTGTTTTGTTCCCCTTTCATTTCTGATTTTGTTAATTTGGAAATTCTCGGATATTCTCTCATCTTTTGATTAGTTTCAATAAGGGTTTGTCTATCTTGTTGAATTTCTCAAAGAACCAACTCTTTGTCTCATTGATTCTCTGTTATCTTTGTTTCTGCTTTATTGATTTCAGCCCTCCTGGTGTCTACTCCTCCTGGGTGAGTTTGCGTCTTTTTGTTCTAGCACTTTCAGTTGCTCTGTTAATTCGCCAGTGTGGGATTCTCCCAGCTTCTTTAGGTAGGCATCTAGTGCTATGAACTTGCCTCTCAGCACTGCTTTCATTGTGTCCCATGAGTTTGGTATGTTGTGTGGTCATTTTCATTAAATTTTAGGAAGTCTTTCTTTATTTTATTTTAATTTTTTTTGGTATCTGTTGAGGTTTTCTTTGGTACCGAGTATGTGATCTGTTTTTGAGAAGGCTCCATGAATTTCTTTTGTGTTTGAGTGAAATGTTTTTGTAGATGTCTGTTAAGTCCATTTGAGTCATAATATCTGTTTATTCCCTTATTTCTCTGTTAAATTTTTGACTGACAGACCTGTCCAGTGGTGACAGTTGGGTGTTGAAGTCTCCCACTATTAGTGTATGGGGCTTGATTTGTGATTTAAGCTTTAGTAATGTTTCTTTTACAAATGCAGGAGCCCTTATGTTCAGAATTGAGATTTCCTCTTGATGGATTTTTCCTGTGATGGATATGAAGTGCCCTTGTTTATCTTTTTTGGTTTTAGTGTGAAGTCTATTTTGTTAGATATTAGTATAGCTACACCAGCTTGTTTCTTAGGTCCATTTGATTGGAAAATTTTTTTCCCAACCCTTTACTCTGAGGTAATGTCTGTCTGTGAAGTTGAGGTGTGTTTGTTGTATTCAGCAGAAGGATGGATTCTGTTTTCCTATCCAGTCCATTAACCTGTGTCTTTTTATAGGTGAGTTAAGACCATTCATATTATAGATATTAATCACCAGTGATTGCTAGTTACTGTTATTTTTGTTTTTGTTGGTGGTGATGGCATTGTATGTTCAATTCCCTTCTTTGGGATTTGCTGCTGTAAGCTCATTTATTTCCTCCATTCTTGTGGATGTAGCTGACTTCCTTGGGTTGGCATTTTCCTTCTAGTGCTTTCTGTAGGGCTGGGTTTGTGGATAGGTATTGTTTAAATTTGGTTTTATCATAGAATATCTTGTTTTCTCATCTATGGTTATTGAAAACTTTGCTGGGTAAAGTAGTGTGGGCTAGCATCTGTGGTCCCTCAGTGTGTGCATAACATCTGACCAGGACCTTCTGGCTCTCATTGCTTCCGTTGAGAAGTCAGGTGTAATTCTAATTAGGTCTGCCTTTATATGTTATCTGACCTGTCTCCTTTGCCTCTCTTAATAGTCTTTCTTTATTTTGTATGTTTATTGTTTTGATTATCATGTGATGAGGGGACTTTTTTTAAAGATTTATTTATTAATTCATTATGTATACAGTGTTCTGTCTGCCTGCAGGCCAGAAGAGGACACCAGATCTCATTACAGATGGTTGTGAGTCACCATGTGGTTGCTGGGATTTGAACTCGGGACCTCGGGAAGAGCAGCCAGTACTCTTAACCTCTGAGCCGTCTCTCCAGCCCAGAGGAGACTTTTTTTGGGTGTGTGGTCCAGTCTATTTGGTGTTCTGTGAGCCTCTTGTACTTTCATAGGCGTGTCCATCTTTAGGTTGGGTAAGTTTTCTTCTGTGATTTTGTTGAATATATTTTCTGTGCCTTTGAGTTGAACTTATTCTCCTTTTTCTATCCCTATTATTCTTAGGTTTGGTCTTTTCATGGTGTCCCAGATCTCCTGTATGTTTTGTGTTAAGGATTTCTTGGATTTAAATTTTTCTTTCACTGATAAATCTACTGCCTCTATCGTATCTTCAACGCCTGAAATTCTCTCTTCCGTCTCTTGTATTCTATTGTTTATGCTTACATTTGTGGTTCCTGATCATTTACCAAGATTTTCTATTTCCAGAATTCCCACGATTTGTGTTTTCTTTATTTATTGCCTCTATTTCAGATTTCAAGTCTTGAATGGTTTCCTTCACTTGTGTGGTTGCTTTTTATTGGCTTTCTCTAAGGGATTTGTTGGTTTCCTCCAATTTTTTGTTTGTCTTTTCCTCCATTTCTTGAAGGGAATTTTTCTTTTCCTCCTTAAGGGCCTCAATCATCCTCATACATTTATTTTTTAGGTAGTTTTCTTCTGCTTCGTCTGTGTTGGGCGTTCAGGTCTTGCTGTTGTAGCATCACTCGTCTTAGTGGTGCTGTATTGCTCTTTACATTGTGGAGTGTGCTCTTACCTTGTTGTCTACACATCTCTTCCTCTATCAGTATAGGTGGGGCTTCTGCTTCAGGAGGTCTCTTTCTCCAATTGGTATAGTTGGGGCTGTAGCCCTGTTGACTGCTCACTCAGGCACAAGTAGAGCAGAGCCTCCAGTGAACGCTCCCCCTGGTGGGAGTGGGCCCAGGGCTCAGATGGTGGCTCCTTGAGGTGCAGGTGGGGCTACAGCAGCCAGTGGATGCTTCTCCAGTTAAGGTGGGGCCACAGCTTTTGAGGCAAGGTCTCTATGTAACCCTGGCTGTCCTAGAACTTGCTATGTAGATCAGGCTGACGCCGAACTTGCAAAGATCC